CCTCCCTCCCTCCCTCCCCCCTCCCGGGAAAAGGGGGGCGAGGCGAGGTCCGAAGCACCCCGGGAGCAACTGGGCCCTTGGGGGGACGGCCAGCGGCGGCTCCCGGGTGCCAGAAACCACGACACCGCGGCAGGCTGCACGGGCAAACGAAGGAGGAGGAGGAGGAGGAGGGAAGAGGGGGGCTGCGCGCTGTATGCAGGGGCGGCCGGCCGGCAGGGAAGGAGGGCAGCGGGGAAGGGGGAAGGGAGGGGGAGGAAGGCGGGGGGCGGGGGGCGGGGACGCCGCCAAGGCACTGGCGAGGGTCGGCGTCTTGTCGGCGTCCCCGTCGTCACGCCGAGGGCGTCGGCGCGGGGCGGCGGGGGCGGGGGCGTCGACGTCGAGCTGGTCGCCGAACTGGCGGCTCCTCCCTCCTCCCTCCTCCCTCCTCCCTCCTCCCTCCTCCCTCCTCCCTCCTCGCTCGACGGAGAGCCGAGGCGGACGCCCGAGAAAGGCCTTCGACGCATCCCCAGAGGTCGAGCGCGCGCGTCTTCGGGCAGGCGGACCTGAGCGTCCCGGGCCCGTTGCGACAGCGAGAGGAGGAGAGGGTGGGGGAGGAGGGGAAGGAGGGGAAGGAGGGGGAGGAGGCGGAGGAGGAAGAGGAGGGCCAGTTGCGACAGCGAGAGGCCTCCCTGCAGCACCAACCCGCGGACCTGGCGGCGCCCTCCCCGAGGGCCTCCTCCTCGCCGGCGACCACCACCAGCGCGTCGACGGGCCCCGCGAGGAGGTCCGCCATCGCCTCGTGCCTGTGCCCACCCGGGGGGGGGAGGAGGGAAGCAGTGATAGGAGAAGAAAGAGCTACATAAGCATCAACTTTTGGCTCTCTGCGCGGGTTTCTTGGATTCGCGCTGGACCCCCCTCCCTGGCGCGCGGAGATCCGCGCGGAGCGCCAAAGGTTTACGTGTATGTTTTGTTTCTTCTTCGAAGTGAGGGCGGTCGGCACGAGAGGCCCAAGAGGCTCCCAGGAGGGCCCCAGGGCGGCTTTGAAGCGCCCAGAGAGCAACAAGACGGCCCAGCGAGGCCTCTTGGGCTGTCCTGGGCGGTCGGGAATCCAAGCATGCCAGAATCTCAAATCCTTCAAAACCTCAGGAAATCAATGAGTTTGGCCTCTTCGGGCTCTCCGGGAAGGCCTCTTGGACCGTTTTGGGGGCCTCTTGATCTGTCTTGAGGCTTTTTTGGGAGCTGCATGGTCTCCAGGACGGCTTTCAAGGCAGCGAAGACGACACCAAGATGGCCCCAGACGGCCCAAGACGGCTCAAGAGGCCCCCAAGACAGATCAAGAAGCCCCCAGGACGGCCTAAAACCGCAGTTGTTGGAAAATTGTGAGGTTCTCGTCTGTTCGGGTTTCCGACCGCCCAAGACGGCACAAGACGCCTCCAACATAGCTCCAAGACAACCCAAGAGACCCCCAAGAGGGCCTCAAGTCGGCCGAACAAGGTCCAAAAATCATCCAAAAATCGCCCAAGAAAGCCCCAAGACAGCCGTGAACCGCTCCAAGAGGGCACCAACATGGCCTGCCCCCAAGAGGCCCCATAGGCCCCCAAGAGGCCCCCAAGAGGCCTCAAGAAGGCCCCAAGAGGCCTTCTCCTCCTCGTCCTCATGTTCTCCCTCCTCCTCCTCCTCCTTCCCCTTCGCCTCCTCCTCCGCCTCCTCCTCCTCCTCCTCCTCATCCTCCTCCTCCTCATCATCATCAGCAGCAGCATCATCATCATCATCAGCAGCAGCATCAACATGAGCATCATCATCAGCATCATCATCATCATCAGCATCAGCATCAGCATCAGTTCCATCATCATCATCATCATCATCATCATCATCATCATCATCATCATCATCATCATCATCATCATCATCATCATCATCATCAGCATCATCATCATCATCACATCATCATCATCATCATCATCATCATCACATCATCATCATCATCATCATCATCATCATCATCAGTCATCATCATCATCATCACAGCATCAGCATCAGCATCAGCATCAGCATCATCAGCTCATCCTCATCCTCATCCTCATCCTCATCCTCATCCTCCTCATCCTCATCCTCATCCTCATCCTCTCCCCATCCTCCTCCTCTCATCATCAGCATCATCATCATCATCATCATCATCATCATCATCATCATCATCATCATCATCATCATCATCATCATCATCATCATCATCATCATCATCATCATCATCATCATCATCATCATCATCATCGTCATCATCGTCGTCATCCCTATCGCGCGGGCAAAAACGAGTTCGGGATCACGATCACGACCCGCCCCAATGCAGACTGCTCGTCGGAATTGCGCTGTTCCTACGCTCAGCCTCCTTCCTGCTACGCTGTTGCACAGACACCGTGGCGGGATTTGCGGCAGGCAGCTGGGTAAAACCCGCCATGTGGTGACTACCTACCAGACCACCCCAACCCAACCCGAAGACCCGAATTTCGGGTTGGGTTGGGGT